AGATCATCAGGGTAAACAGAGGGAAAAAAAGCCTAAAAAAAGAAACCAAATATAGCCATTACATCTAATGATTGGTATAAACAGGAGCCAGGTGCTGTGTAGTTTTGTGCTAAAAATAATACACCTTGTATGGAGGTGTGCCTTTAATAATTCATATGGTAAAAAAATAAATAACCAGCCTGTGGCTTTAGGAAGCCAGGTTCCAAGATGGATGGCCCGTCCGCTCAGAGGGAAGCAGTGGAGTAGAATGCCTGTCAGTGCAGGGACCACGTCTACCCGACGTCCCAGCGTCCTGGATGACGTCACCACGATGTGGAGAGACGGAGGGGGGGGAACTCTTGCTGGAGCCGCAGCTTTAGAAGGAAGAGGCCGGTTGCTGGGACAACATGTTTTGCGCGCATGCGCTTTGTCAAGTCAAGTAATGATTGGCACACTTGAGGAACATGCTCCAAATCATGAATGTTCCTGCAGCGCACAAAATTGCATGTCCCTATTGTTGCGCTCTGGTGCCATTAATTTTTTTGACACTCCAACACACCTTGCTAAGCAACATTATGGTTGCCCTCAAAAGGCCAGTTGTCCAGATGTCCAGAGCACCTCACCCTCCCTTACATCACAGTACACCCCCCTTACTTTGTGCTGCTGCCAGGAAGAAGCTGGTAGAAGTGTAGGGTCTGGAGGAGGACCAGAGGAGGGCTGGAGTCAGCTGCCAGCGTCTGCTGAATGCTGAGACAAGGTTAGGAATAGACGAGGGGGTGCTGCAGCTGCACAGAGAGGAAAAGGATTTGTAGTTGGAGTTCTGTCCTCCTCTATGCTACCAACTGCTGAGATGGGTGGAAAAGTAGGGCAGAGATGAATCTCTCTGTGGCCACATAGAGAAGATTCTGGCGAAGTAGTTCTGTCCTACTCTGCTGCTGACTGGTGAGACAAGGTGGGGGCGGAAACAAGGGGGTGCTTCAGATACAGGAGAGATGCAAGGACCACATGAAATGGCCTGACAGCTCGGATTCAGCCCTTGGGCTTTGTGTTTGACACATGTGGTTTAGAATATGTAGCACTACCCCCTTAGGGGTTGCTATTGAATTTGGGTCCTCATATAGTCCTGCACATCCAGTCAGTTAGCATTTTTCACACAGCTTTTATCCACAGACAGAAATCAGCCATTGGTTTTGTTATTTTATTGAGAGGATTAAAGTTGGATAGGGTAAAGGGGTGTATAGGATGCCCAAGTGAACTGAAATCTGAGAACAACTTCCTGAACTATTCACAGCTTCTCTGATGCAGTCTCTGTAGGAGTGCTAGCCAGCAGCTCCAGTTGTACTACCCCACACCCTAGATTAACTCCTCTTCACCTAGTAATCTGGAGACTTCTCTTCCTGAGCAGGGGATCTAGCACCTGTTCCTTTAACCACTTGCCGACCGGGCACTTATACCCCCTTCCTTACCAGGCCAATTTTCAGCTTACAGCACTGTCACACTTTGACAATTGCGTGGTCATACAACATTGTGCCCATATGAAATTTTTATCATTTTTTTTCACAAATAGAGCTTTCTTTTGGTGGTATTTACTTTCTGCTGGGTGTTTTACTTTTTGCGCTATAAACAAAAAAAGAGCACAAAATTTGAAAAAAAAAAAAGTTTCTTTGTTTCTATTATAAAATTTAGCAAACAGGTAATTTTTCTCCTTCACTGATGTGCATTGATGAGGCTGCACTGATAGGCAGCACTGATGGGCACTGATAAGTGGCACTGATGGGCAATAAGTGGCACTGATAGGCAGCACTGAAGGGCACTGATAGGCGGCACTGATAGGCGGCATTAATGAGGTGGCACGGATATGTGGCACTGATAGGCAGCACTAATGAGGCGGCACTGATAGGCGGCACTGATGATGGGTACTGATAGTCAGCACTGATAGGCGGCACTGACTGGTAGCACTGCTGGGCACTGACTGGCGCAACCGCTGGGTACTGACTGGCGCAACTGCTGGGCACTGACTGGTGGTACAGACTGGCGGCACTGCTGGGCTGCACTGATGGGCACTGGTGGGTGGTACTAGTGGGCACAGGTGGATGGCACTGCTGGGCACAGGTGGGCGGAGCTGGTGGGTGGCACTGCTGGGCACCGATCATCAGGTCACTGATCATCAGTGCCCTGATGATCAGTGCCGATCCCTGCTCTGACAACTGCCGGTTCTCAGCAGTACTTTCCTCACGCTCTGACAGCGTGAGGAAAGTGCAGCCGAAAACCGGCAATTGCATTTCCCTGTGATCAGCTTGTCATTGGACACGGCTGATCACTGTGGTAAAAGGCCGCTGTGATTGGCCTTTTACCACATCACGTGATCCGTAGGGCACAGAGATCACGGAGATCGCCGGGTGTGCGCACCTGGCGGCGCGCAGGAGAGCGCGTTCTGGGAGGACGTCATATGACACCCTCCCAGAACTGGCCAGCCACATTGTAGCCATCATTCAGCTATCTGTGGTCCGCAACTAGTTAAGTAAGGTGTACAGGCACTAGCAGGTGTACAGCAGGCTGTAATGAATTAGCTGGGACAATTATGGATAATGATCAGTTGTTCCAATCTGACCATGCCCTGGGCAGCATCCTGAAAAACAAGGTTGCTCAAGGGCAGACAGCAGTGCTACAGATGTCTGCATCTATATTTGACAGGTGTGTTGCTGGGTGGGGTTATGGTGCCCACAAAACAAAATAAAACAAAGAAGAACACAGGGACAGATCCTTCCCCTACCTCCTCTTCTGGCAGCTGACATTCTTCAGGCGGTGGCACTGCCACTCTCATTGGGGACTCATTGGGGATTGAGAACATCCCCAGCTGAAGCAGAGCCTGCGAGGCTTGCAGTTCATTGGGTGGGACTCAGCGAGTGGTTGCGGCTACAAAATGGTCATGCCCGCCTGTCTTCTGCTCAGTGCTGGCATATGTGGGGGCTGCAGACTGCTGTGAGAGGGACGGGGGGTAAGTTAGTGCTCTGCAACAGCTCCAAAATGCCTGGGTGAATGACTGTACATGTCTGCAGACAGTTTGGCCTCTTTGATTTCTGCAGGATAAAGGACTGCCCATAGCAAGTCATTCATTTCATTCACTAATTCCTTCCTCCTTATGTACAATTTACCTTCACCAGTTGCTGGTGTAATGGTTGTGCGCATCAGGCACATGAAAATTGTAGGTGACAGCCATTTTGTTCAGGCTTCAGCAATTTTTTTGAGCCCAGTGATCTTACTCCCTCCCTCCTTCTGCAATCTACGGAATCCATAGCCTTAACTTTTAACACACTTCAAAAGAGCCTGTTATCCCATTTTAGGCACAGCAGACACCAGCACACAGGCCGTGGTCAGCGCTGTAAACTGCTAATTCCCACCTGCACTCAGCTCAGGAGGACTAAGAACAGTATGTAAAGCACTGCATAAATTGTAGGTGCTATACATATGCTTGCAGCAAATAAATTAATATTTATTTGCTTCTTGTAGAACCACGCCCATATTAAATGAATGCCCCACTCCTAATTAAAGTACATGCTCTTCCCATAGTGGCTTTCTGGAAACACAGAAAAAAGGTGTCCCTACATTTTTTTTTTTTTAAATGTTGGCTACTATGTGAATACAAGCAAGATATATTTGGCTCTATTTTCATTCTTTCAGCTTGCAAAGTACTAAGACAGCATTAAAGTTGGAGATGCAATGAGTGAGAGGTATTTCAAAAGGAAATAACTATTCATGAACTAAATAAAATTTGATAGTTCTCACCTCTGCTGACCTTTGGGATTCCGTGGGCAGGTCTTTTCCCAGATATGATGCCAATGTTAGGCTTGATTACCAAATACATTGCATTATTTTAATTATAATGACTAGAGATGAGCGAATCGAACATGGCGAAGTGGAATTCGTTTTGAATATTGGGAAATATTCGATTCGCGCCGAATCCGAAAATTAGCCAACTTCGGATGCACGAATCGAATTTTCCCAAAAATGGCGGCGACATGTGTGGTGACGGAGCGGGGATCTCTGGGAAGGCGCGCAGACAAGGCGCGCTGACCCATAATGCATTCATTCATGACATGCGATCGCATTAGCCAATCAGCAGCCAGCCAGCCAGCACTGTGTAATGGTGGAGCTATAAATTGCGGCCATCTTACAATTCTCCATTAGCCTCCGGTCATTCAAGAGAGACAGACCTGTCTGTATTAGGGACAGAGTTAGGGCCAGAGAGACTTTAGGGCCACAGAATCGTTACTTAGGGACACAGAATCGTTACTTAGGGACACAGAATCGTTACTCAGGGACACAGAATTGTTACTCAGGGACACAGAATTGTTACTCAGGGACAGACACAGAATTGTTACTGAGGGACACAGAATTGTTACTGAGGGACACAGAATTGTTACTGAGGGACACAGAATTGTTACTCAGGGACAGACACAGAATTGTTACTCAGGGACAGACACAGAATTGTTACTGAGGGACACAGAATTGTTACTGAGGGACACAGAATTGTTACTGAGGGACACAGAATTGTTACTCAGGGACACAGAATTGTTACTCAGGGACACAGAATTGTTACTCAGGGACAGACACAGAATTGTTACTCAGGGACACAGAATTGTTACTCAGGACACAGAATTGTTACTCAGGGACAGACACAGAATTGTTACTCAGGGACACAGAATTGTTACTCAGGGACACACAGAATTGTTACTGAGGGACACAGAATTGTTACTGAGGGACAGACACAGAATTGTTACTGAGGGACACAGAATTGTTACTGAGGGACACAGAATTGTTACTGAGGGACACAGAATTGTTACTCAGGGACAGACACAGAATTGTTACTCAGGGACACAGAATTGTTACTCAGGGACACAGAATTGTTACTCAGGGACACAGAATTGTTACTCAGGGACACAGAATTGACCCTAATTGATGATGATGAGGCTGATCGCACTTGGCAGCCTCGTCGTCATCTGCCAGGCCCGTAATCTGCCATGGGCCCCCGTACCGACTCCTCATGCTGCTGCCAGGCCCGTAATCTGTCATGGGCCCCTGTACCGCCTCCTCATGCTGCTGCCAGGTCCAGAGTGTGTCATGGGTCCCTGTACGGCCTCCCATTGCTGCTGTCTCCATCGCCACACTCTGCCATGTGCCACTTTCAGGTCTCCTCACACTGCTGGTGGGTTCCATTTTGTCATAGGGTGCTGGCAGATTACGGGCCTCCCATTGCTGCTGCCAGGCCCGTAATCTGCCATGGGCCCCCGTACCGCCTCCTCATGCTGCTGCCAGGTCCAGAGTGTCTCATGGGTCCCTGTACGGCCTCCCATTGCTGCTGTCTCCATCGCCACACTCTGCCATGTGCCACTTTCAGGTCTCCTCACACTGCTGGTGGGTTCCATTTTGTCATAGGGTGCTGTATGGCCTCCCATTGCTGCTGCCTCCACCGCCACACTGTGGCTCCACACTCTGGTTTTGGCCCCGTGACTGCCCAAATGAGTGAAGTGTGCGGTGATTCTAAGATCGACGGCACTCATCTGCATGTCATACTGACTGACAGTATTATTTCTCTTCCCCAGCAGACTCCAAGGGCATTTAAATTAAAGGTACAGTGTTCTGCACTAATATAAAGGCTCTCTGAAGCCTAGAAAAACACCCTTTTTATAAGTTAAATTCGCAGCGAATATATTCGACTCGAATCGAATTTATTCCGCGAATTCGCCGAATCAGCCGAATCGAATTTTTGAATACTTCGCTCATCTCTAATAATGACCATTTAATAACTCTACAATTATCAATCAACTTTAAGTATCTAGCCTCTAGACACATAAGCAAACACATCAAAAATTACAAACTGAATAAAGAAAATTGTTTTTCCCTAGTGTTCCTGTTTTGTTGTGTCTCATTTTGATGTGTGCTCATTTCTTTTAAATCAGCTTGGGAATATATAATGGGTATCAGCATGCAGTACCTGTGAATAGCACTGCTGGCACATTCTTGTGATGATTTGTAACAAGTGTGAAGACATTCATTTGCTTCTTTCTCATTATCTTTCAAGTATACAGAAGATCAGGCTAAAAAAGTGGCCGTTGTAGGTTGGGTCAAAAATACTCCACATGGAACAGTTACTGGGCAAGTCCAGGGGTCAAAAGAGAAAAAGTAGATATAATGTGAGTAACATTCAAATATAAGTGGTGTAATTGTGTTTATAGTCATTTGTGTTTTTTATTTATTTAATTTTTTGCTAAATGAAATGCATATAGTTTATATAAATACAGCACAAGCCATTTTGTTTAAATTTGCATCCAGCTTTAGCAAACATTTTAAACAAGGTTAACTATGGTATAGCACTACTTTCCCTGGATTTGATTGGGTCCCCCTAAGTTTTGCATGGCCAGGCAATGCCTGTACTTTCAGATTCAGTAAAACAGTCCTTGAGCTGGTATTTAGTTGTTTATATTAAGGGGTTAGCAACTTGGATGGGGTCTAGGGGTATATGGGATGGCAAAGAAACTGTAGAACTTGAGGATAAACTTCTTAGTAACTATGTATAAAATTTATAGCAGTCTTGTGACTTCTATCTGTGTCCAGCCCAGCACTAGCTAAAGCTTGTAGGAGGAAAATCCCCTGACCCCTGCCTAGACAGTGCTATTTGGCCCTGTGCAGATCACATGCACTCTCCCAAGAAAAAAAAACATCTCTAGCAATACACACTAAACTGAGCATGTGCATGCCAACAGTTCAGTCTGGAGATAAGTTGTGGTCGCTTGAAAAAGGGGAGGAACAGAGAAGAAAGGATCAAACAGCCTTTTTACACAATGCAGAGGATTAACCCCTTAGGTTCTACAGTGAGTAAAACAAGCATGCTTTACTGCATATACAAGCTGATTTTACTGTTGTGGGTTTAGTAACACTTTAAGCAGTCCCAGGTGAAGACTATTTGGGTATTGCACCTGTCTGCTCCCCTTATCCAGCCCAGGGGGTGTAAGAGTACTCACACTGTCCTTGCCTGCTAGTGTGGGGGGTTGGTGCCTGCTTTCATGCCTTATGCTGGGCTGGCTCCTTCCCTGCTAACAGGTTGTCCTCCCAAGGAGATGCTGAGGCAGTAGAGATCCTCCTGTCCAGCATCTTGCCTGTAGGTAGGTTCCCCATCCTGGGGCCCCCATCCTAGGCTCCACACTCCAGCCTTCTCTCAATCCATCTTACACCTGACTCCCCTCTCTCCCCAGGCTCTGTCATATATGAAGGTTGCTCTGGTCACCATGCCCAGCCTCCTGCCAGGGGATTGGCCAAGGTCCCTCAAACATGCAGATTTGTGCCTCCTCCCCTCCTGTTCCAGAAAGTACTAAAGTTTCTGAAAAGGTGGGAGGGCTCCAGAAGTCCTGATCTGTAAAACTACCCAGCCTGTCCTGAGGTGACCTCCTGCCTCACTCCCAGGCTGACTCATCCCAGGCTGCTACTCAGCCCCATCTAAAAAAATAAAACAACAAAACCTATCTAGCTAACCTAGAGAGCGTTACAATGGCAACACTGGAGTCTTTCTGTATATACAGTATTTCTATACTGAACACCCTGCAGAAAATCTCAGTTTTTGGTCATGCGATTGTCTTTTCCCAGAAGTCTGTCTGTATTTAAAATGTACAGGTTCTGGTCTTCTGTTTGCTGGAGTGAGCCTTTCATCTTTGACAAGATACTATCCAAGTGTACAGTATGTCTGGATGCTAAGATGCAGGCTCTTTTCTATAGCACTGGGCCTAATTGTCTGATTATAGCAGGCAGACCCTTTTTTTTGTGTGTGTTTATATTATTTTGCAGAAAAAGAATGGAGGAATCTATAGGTGTAAAGAAAATAGAATTGGGTTTTTAGGGACCTTCCTAGAGTAAATTTCTCCAGCTGAGCTGTCAGTGGTCATTTGTGACCTGATTGTTATGGCCTGGGTATTTTCAGTGGGTCGATCCTAATTGAGACAAACTCCTGATAGATGCCTGCTTCCTCTTTTACTACTGTCCTTTCTGCTACTTGCTCTGTTGCTTTTCCTAGTTTCCTGGGTCTTCCTTTTTACTTGTTTCTTACCCTGGTTCCTACTGTCCACTGTCACACCTGTACCTGCTCCTTCCTTTTCTCCAGATATTTTGGGTCTTCCTGCGCTTCATAGTCCCTTTCTGTGTTCGAGCATACTGTAAGTAATAGCACACTATTTATGCCCTAATTGGCTCAAGCTTCTATAAAAGGGCAGTTCACTCCACACTACGATTGCCTGCAGCAACATTTTCTTATTTTCTGTATGAAATTCTGTTTTCTTACAGTGTTTTTTTTTTCTTTTGTTTTCTTCTTGTAATATTTTTTCTGGTTAAAAAAAAAAAAAAAATGGGTTCTCTGCCTCTCCTCAATTCCTACTCTTCCAGCTTCCCCTAAAAGACAGGCAAATTTTCAGGCCACCTTGAGTCAACTTCAGGCACAAGGGTTAATCCCAAGTTCAACTTATGTGCAGCCCCAAAACTGAATGGAGACATTACCAACATTTTGGACCTGAAATCCCTAAACAGATATCTGTGCTCCTCCAAATTCCACATGGAGTTAGCAAAATCTGTCTTCACTTCTCTCAGATCAGGGGAATTTTTTTACATCAGTGGACGTCCAAGATGCCTATCTTTACATTTCCATCTTTCACGCATATCAAAGTTTTTTATGATTTGCTGTGGGAGACCAGAGTTTTCAATGTGTCACTCTGCTAATTGGCCTCTCCTCTGCACCATGAGTCTTCACAAAAATGCTTGCTCTGCTCCTGGCCCTGCTAAGATCTCAGGGCATCCATGTCATAGGGTACCTGCTGAAAGATTCCTCAGTCATGGTCCTGTCTTCCAACATCCAAAACACAATCCAGCTCCTTCAAACTTTTGGATGGCTGATCCACTGAAATAAATATGCCCTCCAACCTTCCCATCATCTAGAATAATTGGGGGTGATCTTGGATATGGTTCAGGTCAAAGATTTCCTCAGAGAAGATAGCTTTGCTGATGTCCAGCTATCAGGAGGTAATCCAGGTACCATTGATGCATTCTTCATGTGAATTCTACTCAGTTCCACTTAGGACCTTTGCAGCTCAACATAGTCAAAGCAGATCTTTTCTCTGGATCACCCACTACAGCTGTCCACCCACTACTGCTCCACATCATGCCAAAGAGATTTCACTCCACTGCCTGGATGTTATAAGGATGGTTAGGGTCTTCCTAGCTGAAACATCTTCCTTTAGAAAAACTGGATCCCTTTTTGTCCTCCCTGAAAGTCCCAAGAAGCAACCTCCTGCTTCATCTGCCACCATTGTTAAGTGGCTTAGGTTGCTTGTTTCCAGAACCTCAAGGAACAGGTTCCTCTCTTCCCTATCAGGACCCATTCCACCAGATCCGTTGGTGTTAAGCATTAAACATCCATTTTGCAGATTTGCATGGCTGCAAGCTAGTCTTCTGTGTAAGCTTGCTAAGAATTTTACCAGGGGGATGTTCAGGTATCAGTCCATACAATTATTTTTGTGGGCCTGCTTGCTGCTGTTGCTATGTTGTTGCAGACACCTCAGTTTATTGCTTGGGGACATCCGATGGTCTATTATGGCTCCATTACCCATGTCCTGTACGGTACAATAAAGATAATGGGAATTTTTGACTTACCAGTAAATACAATATCTTGGAGTACAGTACAGGACAAGCCCATCCCCTCGTCCTGTTTCTCCATTTTGCTTGCTACAAAACTGAAATCCCACAGAGGATGGGGATGGGGGGAGTAGGCCATTAAATAAGGGTGCAAATTTCTGCTCATGGGGACAGTCATATTTATTACATGCATAAACTGCTTCTTGCTTTGCATTGCTGCACTGTGGTTGTGTGCTACTTTTACTCACAATGCAAGTCTCTCAGTCATCAGCTCAGTGAAATCAATGCACTTCTTAAATGACTGATATCTTATTGCAACACTGCAAAAGACAAAGTAATTGCACTCTAGTGGCTACTCTAAAAATTTATATGTGTAATACAACAAAGTATGTAAATGTGTTGAAATGGACAGTTCAAAATATGGACGATTCCTGCATAATTGGCTAAAATTCATTGGTGTGTGACCCTGTTAGCACCACTCCACTTGACAAAGGTTGATCTTTCGATCAAACAGTGCCTGCATTCAGTCAGATTTAGGAGTTGTCCTAATATTCAGTAGCTACTGCTCTAGCACAATAGCCAGCTGCAGTAATTTCTCTATACATGCTGTTTAGCATGGATGGAGTAATCAATTTATCTTTTTTAGCCAGGGGGTCTGAACAACAGAAAGCTATACATGTATGGTCAGCTTACTAGCAGACTTATGAAAATATAAAAAAGCCATTAAAAAAAATTAGATTGATTTAGATTGACAGCAATAGATGCAGTAAGCAGACAGGAAAACCTAGATGAGTATGAATACTGAGAGCAGCAAAAGGTAGGTAGCAGCATTCAGAAATTCCTAAAACAGCAGCAACAGAGGAAATGATATGAGGCTTAGCAGGAGAATGTGCAGATGACCCCCCCCCCAAGTCAACTATCTCAATTGCTGTAGGATGATAGAAGGAGAAGAAGCGCCTCTAAGTGTAGCATAACACTTTATTCAGGTTAAAAGGTAGGAACACTCACATAGATGAGGTAAATAATGGCATGAAAACCGTGGTGCGGTGTGAAAATCGATCAGGTGAGTATACAGTGTGAAGAGCTGTCATCAGTATGGAGTATGGAGTAGTCAGCGTGCCACTGGAGCAGCGTGGTGGCTGGAGGGGAACAGCTGTGGAGCCGGCCGGCGTGCACATCCTCCCTCTGAGCTGTTGGAACGCAGCGGCGGCATGGCCGTGATCACGTCAGATACCCAGAATGCACTGCGACGCGTTTCGGAGCATGTGCTGGCCAGGAAAGGCGGAAGTGCGCTCCTTTTTCAAGCAGGGGGAGGTGGAAGAATGATGTTCTATTTATATGGAGATGGGGGCTAATTATCGCTTAATTAGCCAATCAACTGGGAACACATGTAATTGGAACAGTAATTGAAAACCATTGTTGTAAGGTGACAAGTGAATTGAAATGTAGGTTGATAGAAAGTCACGGCTATTGAGAAAAAATGGCAAAAAAATGGCAAAAAAAAAAAAATGGAAAAGGGGGA